TGCTGGTATCAAATATACTAGCAACTTGCTCAGATTTCCATGATGGATTTTTTGTAATCAAGCTCATCCCTTCATCAATCTTGTTTAATCAATTTTATTCTCCCTAAGGCAGAACTGCTTGTGGACAGGTATAACTGGTGATATTGAAGTAGCCTTGGCATATGAATCAAAGGGAAGAAGAGACCCTGGGTGTAAAGAAGCTTCTGCTGCATACAGCATTGTCTGCTACCTGTGAACCTCTGGAGCCTCATTTGCATCCACAAACATCACCTTTTTTTCAGATAGATGTTAAAATGATAAGCTGAAGTAAATGTGAACAGATGCACTTTCTTGTTGGCTCTTAAGTGTGATTTGTTTAAGTGTAAACTCTATGGTTTGTAAATCTGACCTTCACAGTTAGCTCCAGTACATCTGAGAGTGTTTCATTTTAACTGGGCTATCTCTAATCGCACTACTGTTACTCAGCTAATTGTTTTGTAAGTATCCAAATCCATCTGCTGGGTCTCTCTTCAGTTGCTTTCAGGGGCTGTTATCAGGATGATTAAGCCAGTTGCTGGCAGGAAAACTGTCTGTTCACAAGAAGTGGAAATACGTAATATTTCAGTAAAACTAACTGTAAGAACAACCACAGGGTCAGCCTGGGAACTCACCTGGCCAAGCAGCAGAGGATGTCTGAGGAGAATAAGACACAAAGCAAAAGTGCAGTGCTTCTTGTCCATGCTCTGCTCCCAGTCCAGGCTCGGACACTGTGTAGTTGATACTACATTATGACAAGACATGCCACAGGTTAACTGTATCAAAAGCCAATACCTTTTGTTTTGGACAAGCCATTGAACAAACAGAGCTCAAAGGAAAGAAAATGAAGCTCTGAATGCCTGAAAGATCTAGGGCAGTTCACACCTGTCTAAGCAAAGCATATTCTATTCACAGGAGTCTCCTTTTGACCTGTACAATTTGGACCAAATTGCTGGAGGAAATAATCAAACATTTGTGTTTCTAGGGATGGTCTATATATCACTGTCATTGATTGTTTCTGATGTACAAAAGTGTTGCAGCCCTACAGAGAACATTTTTTCTGCTCAGCCCAAGGGCAAAGCACTTCGGATGCAGCTGTAAGTTCTATTTAGTTCTTAAATAAGTTCTTATGGAGCTCTGCATGCATGTGCTTTTGCCTATTGATTAAATAGGAAATATTCTGTTTCTTTAAAACAGTGTACAGGGGGTTTTTCAGTGCCTGGAGGATTATAGGTATTTTGTGTGTGTGTGTAATACCAGCCTAATATAGCTATTGAGAAAACAAAGGCATCCATAAACTTGCTTTTATGTATTCCCTTCTCTTTGTTTCTAGTTAATCGACAAGGAGAGTGGAATTGCTCCAGAGGGGTTGGCTCTGGGTAAAACAGTCCATTAGCCACAGGCCCACCTGAAGGCAGCCTGGTGATGCTGGCAGCTCCAGTGCTGTTCCCCATCAGGGAGCAAGTCATACAAACAACTCTGCTGTCTAAACTGCATTCCCCTATTCCCAAGGGAATGTCCTCTGTGCTCGGATTGATTTCTGTCTCTGACACGGCTGTATGTGGGATTTTCTGGCTTTGAGAGCCATCTACAAAAAGTGCATATAGATTGGGTCCTCCTGGGATGGGTGGGTAGGATTAACCATCAGCACCTTCTATCATGTAGCAAAGCTTTTATGAGTCAATGGCTTAATCTAAAAATCTTTATGCAAACTTTAGAGTAAAAGCAAAAGTAACAGTGTTTTGAACTAATGAGCCTTTCCGAAAAAGAGTAGAATGGTGAATTTCTTTCCAAAATGAGCAGGAATTACAACATTGGACTCTTTCAGCAGCTGCCCTATTAAGTGCTGAAGTATCTACTGAAACGTGGATGCTTCTGAGCCAGGTTTGCATTTGTGGGCACCATCACATCTCCAATTACTGCTCAGCAGTGAAGAAGCCTGCAGGGAAGCAACTATTAGCAGAGGGCTCTGGTAACTGATCCATAGCAGCACCTGTGCTGGGCCTCCAGTGCTGTTATTCCAATTGCCCCGTGTGGAGTCTGAAAAAAGGAAAGGGTTCCTAGAGCAAAAAAAAAAAAAAACAACAGGGGAGGAAATTAGCATGCTTGCAGTGTACTGCAAATGCTGCGAGTCAGTGCACAGTGTGCTCTCTCTGGTTGGTCCCAGAAGACATGGTGCTCTGTTTGGCACACTGAACCCACCAGGCACAGTCCTTCAAGGAGCTAATGAGAACTCATCAGTTCTTCTCTAGTCCAATGTTGTGTTTAAAACAGACCCAGCTGGGACAAGTAGTCATGTACAGCAACAGAAGCCTTAACAGAAGATGTTATATCCCCTGATGCAACTGTTTCTAATGCTAACCCTCTTTTTATAATTTCCTAGACCTCCTTTAGTGTGGAAACCCTGGGAATTTATTTCCATCTCCAATATGTGCACCAGTAAGTGGAAAACTTTGATTTGAATTAAATTGAAAGTGCAATTGTTAGAAGGGTGTCACACAATGTCAGATCAGCGATCCTCCTAGATCTGGAAGGGATCCAAGTTTCAAAAGACAGAATGAGAAGGTGTAAAGGAGGTCAGTGTGAACCTCAATAACTACAAGAGTCCCCCTAGGATCATCCAGTGTTGTGGCAGATCATGTTGTGACGGGAGTGACACTGAACCTGAAAACCTCTGGGATTTTGTCATCCTCTTACGGCACCATAGAGGAGAGCTGCAGGTTGTGGCTGCATAAGGAACATCATTATTCTCCTTTATCATCATCCAAAACATGTTATCTCACCTCCCACTTGGAACTACACCTGCCTTATCAACTGCCAAAACAAAAAGCTATGGATGGATGTGCACAGAAGTAGTTTTATGGTAATTATTCAATTACAGCTAATGGCTGCTTTGTGTGTGTATTAGCATACCTCAGTGCTTCCGACTGTTTGTTTGAATGGGATATACAGACTAGGCTGTGAAGGGGAAATGTGGCTCTGCAGACAGTGCTGGTGGGTGGACCCAGGTGCATGGCTGCACCACAGGACTCCACCAAGCAAGGCAAGTGCCTTCTCCTATCAGCAGCTGCTGCAACCCAGGCAAGAGGGGCAGAGGTGCTGGAAGAACGTGGCTGATGCAGTGACCCTTCCTGCAGGCCTAGGAAATATTAAACAGGAGGATTAAAGACTTTCAAATATGGAATAGGTTCTGCTTTCACAATATTTTTCTTTTCAGCCTCCACAAGAGTTGGCACAGCTTAGTGTGCTACAAAGCACCCTTCTTTTCGTTTGCTCAGAACATCTTGAATTAATTCTTGGCAGAACCATCAAACTCTGTGTGTAGATAGGAATAAACTCCAGCAAAGCTGGGGCCTCCTGCAAGGCCACTTCCTTGGGTCTCTCTGCTCCAGGACTCTCTGTGATTATGCAGACTTTCCCTGCATGATACTCCTGTGGCAGATGGGTGGATGTGGTAGAGCAAAGGCACCAGTGTCAGGACCCACACACACAGTTGGGAAATGCAGGTGTCTAGAATTGAGACTGAGAAATGATTTTGTAGACCACGAAGGCAATTGAAAATGCCCAGTGAGAGAGCACAGCTCAGATCAGCAACCATACGACCAGATATCACAGCACAAACCTGCACAGTGAGCTCTGCACTGGCATTTCAGTAGCTCCTCTCAAAAGAAGAGACATCTGGAAAGAGCTGCCAGGTTTGGCAAGACGACCTGAACAGCCACATCTTCTACGAGCATAGAAATCCCCACGTCTCCCCATGAGTCACGGAACACTTTCTGCTATACCCTGTGCCCTGACCACACCTGCTGCCTTCAGGAGTTTTGTACTAAAAGAAAATCAATCCACATGTCAATGTCAATTGAATGTTCTCCAAACTGTGTCTCCCTCCAGGCTTCTCAAAGTACCAGATCCATTTAGCAACATGCACAGGCTGAAGCCCAAAGCACCTGCTTGGTGCTGGGAGAGGAATCTTTCCAGGAACTGAGGATAATGTGAAAATGCATCTCAATGCACCTTATTGACCCTCTGAAGGCTGCAGCACCTGCACCATCAGCATGTCTGAGGTCACTGGGGACCTCCTTTTTACTTACTGTAACCCCATTGATTTTAGTGGGCACTTGGTGCCTGTGTACACTTTAAGGTTTAGATTTTAAGGATCCCAAGTAAGAACATAAAGCAGTGTCAAGCATTTGTGGGTTTTGTGACTCAGCTGGAGAGGGTACTCGATATCCTTTTAGCAATTTGCTCAAATAGCATTTCTGAAAATCTATTTCTCTAAAGGGGCAGCAAGAAACAAAATCAGGAGGGCAGCAATGGTAATAGTCACTGGATTTGCTTCTGGATTTTCTCCTTCTGCCTTCAAAAGCTGAAAGTGTTAATGCCAAAGTTGATTCTCATTTCCTCTCAGAAACTGTCCACTGTCACTTTCGCGGTCAGTGCTGAAATTTAATGCAAATATGAGGAGCTAAAATACCTGAAGGCAACAAAATCAGATTGGTGTAGTAACTCAGTGACGTTTTCTCCCCACCCTTCCTTACAGAGCACTGCTGTTTTACAGCAATAGAAACCTTTTGGAGTTTTGTAGCTGACTCAGAGCTACGGATATTTACTACTGAAAGAAGAAGAAAAGGAGAGAGAGGTAATTTCTAAAGTGAAATTAAATTAACCACAAAATCAAACATTTCCAAAGGCACTTAATTTCATGTCAGTTCAGAGGAGTCTTTTGGATTTATGCCACTAAAAACAAAATATCAGTACACACTTCAGGACTGCCAGTCTTTTAATACTCTGGGTTGCAGTTCAGAAGCTGTAAGGAAATGTAATTGAATCTTGTTATACCTAACTTAATAATTAGAATCTGGTTTGGAATGTATTCTTCTATTAAAAGAAAAAATAATAGACTTCGCATAATTATTAATCTCTTGTAATAATCCTCAATTGTACAGATTACTTTTCAGAAACACAAACAGTATCTTGCAGAAAAGATGACATTTACTGCCTTTTTTTTCTTCTGCATGCTGATGAACATGCTAACAGGTAAGATTAGTGCTGAATTTATTCTTGTTTATTTTTTCAAGCAGCCAGAAATATTTTGTTATGAATACAGTGTCTTCTATTTATTATCAGGTATTGCTCATGTATTAGTCACACCTATTCTGGCTGTTAGTTAGGAGTATTTGGTTCATAGCACTGAGTAACTGTGAATGGGGAATTCCTCATGCAGCTGTTCAAAAAATCAAAATCCTTTGACTACACAGAGGGTCCCACATGGGCAGTAAAGGACTTGGCAGCTTCTGGCTGCATGGTAAACCTTTTGTTAACAGAAAGTATTTCTGCAGGAGCACCAGCACTGATGCATTTCCTCTTTATTTACAGATGCTCGATCCATCCGGGATGGAGATGGTAATTCCTAATGTGGTTTTCTTTCCGTTATATTGCTAATAATTAAGAGAGTAATTTATAATTCCCACACCTGATGCCCAGCAGTGACTGTGGCAGAATGCTTACTAACCTCAGTGGGCTGTGGAAGTGCTTTCATTGAGTTCTGGTGGAGAAAGAAGTGAATTTTTAGAAATTTCGTTAAAATTTATTAAAAGCTGACATAGTAATGTCTCATAATAGAGCCGATATATCACAGTCTTAAAACCAAAAGGGGTTATGGTCAAGTAACTAATTCTGTTGTATAAAATTGTAACTGGAAAGCACCAGATTTAAAAATGCATATGACATCTGAGAATTTTGTCTGTTCTGTACAGCAATGCTGTGTATGTGTGTGTCTGGTTATTGGCAAGAGATACTGACTTCCACAACCAAAAGCTTAAAATTTACAAATTGCCACAAATCCAATTAAAGAAATGTAGGAATAAATCCCTTAGCACAGCTACCCTGTGGTTCATGTCACTTTGTGTGATTAGTCCATTGGATTAGTGTTTGCCTTTGATTAAAAAAACCCTCAACGTCCTAATGATGTTTACACTGGCTTACTGATGATTCTATCAGTTAACCTCTCCTTGGCTTGTCAGACAGAATCCTGTCTGAAAACAAACTTACAAAGAAGGATCTGCAATTAGCGGGTACTGCTATTGCTGGTGTATGTCTCAGCCAGCAGGACATCCAGCAGCATCTCCAGTGCACAGACACAAACAGGCACAGAGAGTATTATAACAGATATGAACAGCAGAACTACAGAATAAGGTCTAATATGATTACTTGTAATTCAAACCTTTTTTCCCTTATGCTCCACTCTCTTTCTTTATGGCTCTGAAATCTCTTTAATGTGTCATCTGCGTTTGTGAGCAGCAACTATTTCTGTGGCAGCCTCTGACAGCCAGGAGACTGTGTGTCAGTCTGAAGATAGAACCCTGTTCAGGCAGTGTCCTGTTGCTCTCATTACCAGCAATTATGTTTTTCTTTCACACTGGGCCAAGCAGCAGCCTGCAAAGTGAATCTAAGGTCAGCTGGTATAAACAGTGAATTCTCCTCTGCAGACAGCATTTGGCTGATTCATTTGGTTAGTTATGTGCCATCTGTGACTGCATGCTGCAAACTTTACTCTGTAAAATTAAGGTCTGATAACAGGATTGTTGAAGGCTCTTAATTCCTACTAAAGACCATGGTCCCAAGCTGAGCCTGGTGAGTGGAATGGCTCCCATTTATTTAAATGGGCTTTAAATCAAAACAGAATACTGGGTTTAGCTTCACTGCACCGAGAGACACTTGTCACTATGTGGTGTTTACATTTTATACAGGCTTCTGTGCCTGCCCAGATTTGGGCCCAAGGAGTCACCTCCTGCATTTTCACAATTGATTTTGTTTTCCTGCAGAATTTGAAATCTTGTTTCAAGGAGGATATCACATTTTCTGACATTGCTAGAGCAGGCACAAATGCAGCAGCTGACTCCCAAGCAGCAAAGCCTTTCCTGGCCATTCCCTTAGCCTGTTTCCTACAGCCTGCTGAGAAGAGGCACAACTGCAGTGCCAGGCAATGCCAGGGAAGAATGAGCCCAGTCTCTGGGAGCTCTGTGCACAGAGTGGGAAGCTCCAGGGGCACAGAATAGAGGATGGTGCCTTATTCCTTAAATTCTTATATTGGGCAAAAAATAGTGTAGAATGGGGGAAAAGAGCTTTCCATTGCTATTGTCCCTTGCTTTCAAATAACCAGCAGCTTTCTAGAAATTAAAGCTGCCCAATGAATTCTAGAATTCCCTAGATGTGGATGATGTCCCCGCATTTCTGCCCTCCATCTTGTCCCACCCTGTCATTCCTGGTGCAACCAGAGCAGGGAATACTGGCTCCATCTTCTGCAGAGTGGGGCACGGAGAGGGGTCAGTGGCTCTCCCTGCCTCTCTCCTGCCAGAGGAGCCCACAAGACCCCTAAGGGAACCCACAACCCCAAACCACGCCAGCTCCCAGGCCCAAGCTTTCAACAGAAATGCTTCATATTATAGTGATCTGTAACATTTTATTTTGGTTGTTTATTTTTAGATCTCTACCAGGAAGCTGTAGCCTTGCTGTACTGGCCCTTCTCAGCCAATGATTTCTGGTCCTACGTGGAATATTTCCGGACCCTAGGAGCCTACCACAGGATCAATGAAATGGCCAGAGCCTTCTTTGCCCAGTTCCCCTTTGGGAGCCACCTTGGCTATCATGTGCCCAACCATGAGCACTAACTGCTTGGCTAAAGCTGGTGCCAAGGTGTTTGAGTGAATACCTGGCTGCCAGAGAGCACACCCGAGCTGCCCTCACCCACTTAGTGATACTCACCATAGTCATGCACAGCATTTCAAGCTTTAAATTAGTCTCTTTTTAACAATTTATGGGTACCAAGGCATTTGAACAAATACCTGTCTGCCAGCAAACACACCTGGGCTGCCCTCAGCCACTTAGTGATTAGGTTTGAGGGAAAGTTAGTTTTCTCCACAGTGGCTAGTATGGGGCTGTGATTTTGGGTTTGTGCAGAACACAGAGTTGATAGTGCAGAGATGTTTTTGTTATTGCTGAGCAGAGCTCGCACAGAGCCAAGGCCTTTGCTGCTTTCCATACTGCCACACTGGCACAGAAGGTGGGGGTGCATGGGAGATTGGGAGGAGACACAGTCAGGACAAGTGACCCAAACTGACCAAAGGGATAGTCCATACCACATGGCATCATGCTCAGCATATAAAGTGGAGGAAGGAAGGAGAAAGGGGGGGATGTTTGATGGCATTTGTCTTCCCAAGTAAGCATTCCACATGATGGGGCTCTGCTCTTCTGGAGATGGCTCAACACCTGCCTGCCCGTGGGAAGCAGTGAATTAATTCCATGTTTTGCTTTGCTTTCTCTATTAAACTGTCTTTATCTCAACCCACGAGTTTTCCAGCTTTTACCCTTTTGATTCTCTCCCTGATCCCACTGTGGGGGGAAGCAAGCAAGTGGTTGTCTGGGGCTTGGCTGCTCCCTGGGGTTAAACCACAACAGTGGTACCCATTGATACCAGGGGGTTAAAGAAACAGGAATCTAAGAGTACAGCTCTCTGTTTCTAGGTTAACCCTTTGGCATCACATATTTAACTCCTTCTGTGGCTTTGCAGGAATTAACTGCTTTATAAGATCCTAGAATACACAGAAAGGAAAATAAAAATGCCTCAGATTACATTCTTTACAGCTTTATACCATTTGCACCCTCCTCTTGTCATATATCACTTTCAAATAGTTCTGCTACTTTCTCCTTCAGAATATTATTCAGAGTTCTTCATTATGTTACAAAATTAGTGGAGTAGTGTTAATTGGTGCAGAATTAGCAAGGGAGCTAGAAGAACTAGCTAAGACTAACTGCCTGAGTCTCAAAGGGGGAGTCATTGCAAGGGGCCTCAGACAAGAATGTACCCAAGGATGTAAATCCTTGGTATTGTGTTTTATTAACTGTTTTAAACTCAGTTGTATTCTGTGCGTGTGTAAAACAAATTTGTGAAAGGAAACTGTTTTAAATATTCAGATGGGAAGCCAGGCAAGTAAAGAAATTCCTTGAAAGAGTCCAATGGGGTGTGTCCTGGCACATTGGAAGGATTTAGGAGTAACCCTTACTGGAAATGTAGGGGAAAAAGATTTAATTAAGTATTGTACTAATT